TCTCACAACTCATCGTTCTTTAATACTGCGTTCTTTCATCCGAGGACTTCAATGACATTGCGCTCTAGTAACAACAGATGGTACGAATTTTACCTACTAATTTATAGAAATTAGGTATGATATCATACCTTTGTTAATTCCATTGCAAACTGTCAGGCATTGTCTTCAGTTTACATCCAAGCTCCCTTATGTTCTTCAGCATCATGTTCTCAGTGCACACATATGAAGGTTCTTGTTGCCTGAACTACATTTAACGCACGCGACCCTCAAGGTCACAGTTCATACCAAGCGCCGTTCGTATGTACTTTATAACAACTATAAACCTCATTAAAGGTTATATTGCACAAATACTTGGTACAACCAGAACTCTCACACAACAATAACGAGTTCGAACCTGTTGCGCGGTACCATTTTCGAACCCAATCATTAACTCTTTTGGACATCTGCTCGAAAGCATTGTCTTTATTTATTGATTTCATCTACTTAACGACCATGCTTGGGAAGCATACGATGTGCAAACCAATGTCATAAATTGTAGATCGTTCATGTATAAATGGAGTGTACCTACCCTGGCAGAAATGAATAATTATATTACATTATATATTAGTTAGTGAGGCGGACACAGCCACATGGGGGTGCGATCCGTGTTCAAATGACTCGTGACGGACTGAGCTTCCTGTCACTAATCGCAAACAGACGAAACACCATTTTATTTATTCTCACAATAAGTGTCCGTAGATGTTCTGTTTTCATCAACTGCGGATCCCGTCCCACAAACTCAGTCCAGTGCAGCTGCATTAGTAATGAGTAAATGAGAATATAATTTGTTTTTCCCTTGATATTGGTGCAGCAACCATATGGATACCATTGAAAGTTTCGTGTGTTCAGTTCAGCTTCCGCATGTTAGTTCAGTAGTCGTACGTTCACTATGTTTGAAAAAGACTGTGTAGCAGATGATTGGACTTATACGGTGAGAAGCAATACAAACGTTTTTTATAAGTTAATTGATGAGGGCCACTGATGTTTATCATCTCCCATATTTGTTTATGTCTGTGCTGCTGTATCAGGTTCCGTATGCCGTAGGTTCGAGTTTGAAAATCACCAGTTACCAGTGCTGTAGATATGGTGACCTTGCTAGCACTTGGGACTGCCATACATTTGGATTAATCACATCAAACGAGTTGATAATCTATTCTTCCCTTACGGTATACAGAAAAATGTGTAAATATACTTTCTGAGTCCGAGACAGGTCAAAAGGACTTTTGATTCGTCTAATCTTCTTGTACTTCCAATCGGCTACACAGGAGTATGCATGCCCTGGTGATTCATTATTAACTTTAAAACAATAAAGCAATTGTATAGTTAGTTTGTTGTGGCTCAATCACTCGATTAGGACAAATAGTGTAGCAAAGTGAAAAATTCTCAGTGGAATCACTCTGATACGACTAGACAGTCTTCGTGGTGTTGTATCTTTTCATATTCAAAAATGTTTTACCTGCACTTGAAAAGCTGTTGATAGCAATTCGTAAAGAAAAACCAGTTCGGTGAGGCGTACTACTTAGAAATATTTCTGATGCTCTAAACCGTATTTTGAAACTGAAAACAAGTTGTATATTTGGTCTAAACTGATGTACATCATGCACTTCGATGGGATTACGAGAATATTTGCACGACGACGAGTTGAAAAGAAACATTCAAGTTCGTGATAATTAAAACTGTAAATTCCTGATATTCTACAAGGTGAAGAAAGTGGATTATGTCTCAATAAGTTATCTCAAGTCTCCTACTGAATGCGCTAGATCCTGATCAAGTGTCTTGTTACCTTCTCGAGGTAGAATGCTAGATAGATTGGCAATAGTTATCTTCTAGTTACCAAAAATGACATGGACTGATTAGATGCTTGCATCCACTGTGGTGTTGATAAAATATTCGTGTTGAGAACTGTTGGCTTTGCAGCTTCTTTCCCATTGCTAAAAGCAGCCTTGGATGAATTTGACAGCTCCCCTATTCTGGAGAAGTTGGTTTGCCATAGTTCTAACAGAAACTACAAACTTTGGAGTGAATCGGAAGTAGTAATTTATCAGTTAGTTAGGCGTGCTTATTGGCCTGATGGTTCTCGTTTCTAACCATTCCAAAATTTTCACCCGCTTAATTTTCAGTGGGTCAGTTGATTGTCTCAAACACTGTTCAGAAATTTGGGATGGGCAGGGTAATTTTATGCCTCCAGTGTAACTTGAGTCTTTTATAAGCCAAACGTACGAACTAGTTCGTTTTCAACCATTAGTACGCCTTTAAGAATACAGGTTGTCCTGTTATTTTGATGAGATATGTGACACTAACGATTACTTCTGACGACTTCGTCAGTAGCCGAGATAACTAAAATTGTCAGTTTCCAGTTTATCCCATTTTTCAGCCGTATACTTGATTTCAGCTTGCCTTGAGGTGCAGCCAGAAAACGGTGTCCTGGATTCGGGTTTACTGGCCTCCGGTTTGCTAAGTGGGAAAGTGCATTGTGATGTTCTAGTGAGTTTATGCCACTGACAGGCAATAAAGCAATAATCAGTATAGTGTTGTGGAGATTGTTGAGTTTTATTCGAGATCATGAAACCGCCGTTGTCAGAACACCATTGAAATTCTGAGAGCACTGGACGGCCGCTTCGTCCTAGTATGTGACGGTGCGCATCCAAGATTCCACTGACAGGACTTGAATCTAGGATTTTTGTTCTTGCGCGCGAACGCTTAACTTCTAAACCAATTAGCTGATATCCGACGGTGGTAATGTCCAAATTCAACCAACCAATTGCTAGAACGAAAACGTCATATGTGGGCTGATATGACCTTACCTGTGGGTTGTCACGTCCTTTGTAACCCTATATCCCTTGTGAACAGATCATGATTAAATCTACTAACATATGCATGGTAACTTTTGCGATTAGTTCCTTAATTGTGGAAAATGCTCTTCTCTCGATATTATCCGAATTGATGGATTTCGCATTTCCACGAAGTTGGTCGGTCAGAGTATTCGTAATTTACTAGCAATTTGGTATGAACCGTCTGTAGAAGCTTACTAGTCTGTTAAACGTCCGTAGCTGCTTGATTGTGGTCTGTTCTGGGTAATCCAGTATGGCTGCCACTTAGCTTTTCAGAGGTTGGATGCACTAAGCATTAATTGTATGTCTGAGGAAATATAAGGGGTGGATTCCGATTTGACATTTCTGAATGTTTACTGTAATGCTGTGCTTTCGTAGTCCTTCAAAGACAAGGTCTAGATGCTGGAGATGAGATTCTTTGTTCTTACTTGCAATCAGGCAGTCACCAACATACTCATGCACGAAGTTGAGACCTCGAAAAAAATCATCAATGAAACTTAGGAAGGTTTGGGTAGCATTTCTTAAACTGGTAGACATGTGCAAAAACTCGTAGAGTCCGAAACGGGTGACGATGGATACTTCGAGAATATCGACAGCAGCCATAGGAGTTCAGTTGTAATCTTTAACCAAGTCGATTTTCGAGAAAAAACAGTTGTACCTTTCAAGGTAGTTGTTAAATCGTGGATGTGAGGCAACGGGTTGTCGCATTCAATCGCCAAAAGTCACCATTTGGACACCAATCATTGCTGTCCTTTTTAGGGACCATGTACAAGGGAGATGCCCATGGGCTGTTTGATGGCCGAATGATTCACAAATCTATCATGTTATGGAAATCGTTTTTAGCCAACCTTAGCTTTTCGAGAGCTAGTCGGAGCCCTTTCAAGAATACAGGTGATCCTGTAGTCGTGATGTGATGTGTAACGTTGCTGGTTAAAGACGGCAAGGTCAGCTGCGTTTGGTATATCTCAAGGTACTTATCGAGTATATATTGGCAGTATGGATCGATCGTGTATCCTATTGTGTTTGGGGATAATCTACAACCGGAAAAATACGTTACACAAACAGATAAATTATTATTTCCGTCTACTAACTACCGTAAATTATGATGTTGCGGCAGGCTTATACCAATGACTGGCATAGAAACAACTGCAACAATGAAAATCCAGTGGATGAGTTTGTGTAAACTTACGTTAATATAGACGTACCGCTTACCATATGTAACGACCGGTTTCCCGTTTGCCGCCTGTAAGTTCGAAACCGATTCATGCAGTCAGTCACTGGAATTCGCTAGAAGAACGGTAATTTCTGCTCCAGTATTGACGAGGTAGTGTTGGTACCCTATGATCTGAAGTCTTCAACTAACTGCGCCAACAATGCCTTTCGAGCAAGCCCTACACTGACAACGTTGAAGTGGATTTTTTGTTAATTCGGCGGTGAAACTTTGTAGCCGACCTTTAACAGTTTTATTCGACCTTATTTAGAGTATTTAAACATAGCGTTTCCTCCTACACTCCAAAAGGATAAGGATACATCGGAACGTGTCCAACAGCGAGTCACGAAGTTAGTTCTGGAACTCAAATTCAAGACTTATGAAGAGAGCCCCAAACCAATAAACTTTTGCTCATTAGGGTATAGGCGCCTCAGGGGAGACCTTTTAATGACTTGCAGTATCCTTAACTTCCTGAACATCCCCTTCAATCCCTACTTAAGCTCAGTTTAATCACAAACCTTAGGGGTAACACACAGAAACTGGAGACACAACACAGCAGAATAGACTGTAGGCACACCTACTCATTAGGAATAGTCAGACGCTGTCGGTCGAGGTAGTCCATGCGACTTTTCAGGAGTTCTTCAAGTGAAAACTTATATATTCTTGAAGATTAAAGACAGTATCTTGCCATAATTTACCGATGTTTTCTTGCCTTTATCGCTAAATGTGCCTAAGTTCTTACATAGTGGCATTGGTGATCCATTGTTACTAGATACGGAAGCCAGTTTAAAGGAAGCTTTTTCTATCCCGTCCAGAACCATTTGGACCAGGTGAACATTGGAAGCGGCTTTTTCAACTTCGCTGAGATCTTACTGTGAGTTCGTTGGTTCTTTTATTTTCTCTTTCTAACATGTCAGAATATGGCAAAAAAGTCTTACGACGCACTGTTTAAAATTCTACTCATTGGAGATTCTGGTGTTGGCAAAACTTGCCTACTCGTTCGTTATGTAGAAGAGTCTTTTGTACCAACCTTCATTTCAACAATAGGAATCGATTTTAAGATCAAAACAATTGAGTTAGAAGGAAAGAAAATAAAGCTTCAGGTAAGCCGAATCTTAGGGATACCGATTGAATGAAGATATGGGATACTGCAGGCCAGGAACGCTTTCATACGATTACTTCCTCTTACTATCGTGGTGCTATGGGTATAATGTTGATATACGATATTACCAGTCGCCAAACGTTTGATAACATCCAGACCTGGATGAATAGAACCTTTTCTTTAGCATCAAACGAGGTTGAGAAGTTGCTGATTGCTAATAAGTGTGACATGGCGCATAACCGAGTTGTATCTTATGAAGAGGGTTGGAGAAAAGCAGAGGAATATGGGGTAAAAAGAATCCTTCGCTAATAATTTTCTATAGATTGGTTTTCTGGAAACAAGTGCGAAGTCATCAACAAATGTACACAAGGCCTTCGAGGATTTAACTCGCGCCATCCTCCATAACAGCTCTATACGTAGACATGAGTCATCTACGGTGACTCAGGTCCACCGGTTAGTCGAACCTCCAAATTCCATTTCTGGAACATGCTGTAGTACAGGATAGTCCTTCCAGTGATTATTTTCCTCACCGTTTTCCTTTCAATATTAACTTATAGTAATGCTTATAAATACAATGTTACGATTCATCATAAGATCCATATTTTCGGCCGCCAAAAGACATTCAGAGTTTTAGTTTCTGTCGTAATTTTGGTTTAATCTTTGTGTAGAGGTGCTTCTGTCATATTCTGGATCTACGATTTTGCGTTCGGTTGTGATGATACACTTGCGCTAGCGCTGAAATTCCTTGTTATACAACACTAAATGTTTTTTCATTTCATATGAAACCTACAAAGCCAATTAGTCACCATTTACTTTTTAAATGTAAATATATTTGGATTCTTATATCTGACTTTTTGTCTGCATAAAACCACTTATCTATGTCTCTCGGCTTCGAGTATATGACTAGTTATTTTGTTTCATTTTGTGTTTCTTGGAATTGTACTAAGATTGCTTTTATTTACTAACTTTCCCGTCCATCATTCCCTACCTTCACAATCCACGTGGTGTATATGTTGATTTTTGGGGGTTGTAAAAGTAATATTAAAAGAATAATTAAAGCCAAGTACTTATATAATCTCACGGTTTATCGTTTCTTATACCTAGTTTAGCATGTCGGTTATATAGGGTTACTGATGTGTACATAATACTACAGAGTTTATGAACTTTAGAACCATATCTAATGCGAATACATATACTGGTCTTAATTTTCATATCACATCGTTACATCAGTACAAAACTGAAAAGAAAAAAATATGGAATTAAAAGTACTTGCGATCCACACTTACCACGTCCAGTTACGTTTGATGGTGTTGACGAAACCCTAAAAACCTTTTGTATGAAGTTTACTGGCGAAATGCTTGCAGTATGACTATAAGGCGTCTTTTGTCTCTGCTTCGATAACTACCTAGTTTATACCATAAAATTTGAATGTGTGGATTTGAGTTCCAATCTACCTCAGTGTTAAGATTGTATGCACAACTTTTTACTGATTGATGCAGTTCATAATCAGAGATAAAACGAGATAAACTCGGTTGCTTAGTGGATGTGATAAGTAAATCTGTCTAAAGTTAGTTTTAGTTTCGTTTGCTATATTCGTACATAACTCATTGGAGTCACTTTTTTGTATATTGAAACCGGTGGTTGACTGTGTTCTTTAAAAAGTAATCTCCTCGTTTGAAAACATGGTCTTTGGGATTGTAAGTCCAAAAATCGTCTATGAGACTCCTTTCTCACCTCCCACCGTATGTTAAGATTTCTATCTTACATGTTTGGATGATTCTTACAAATCGCCTTCACGGTAACCGGCTTTTTAGCATACTTAGGGAAAGTACTCCTGTATTGGGAGATCATTACTCACTTGATAAGATCATTGAAATTTAGTGTGTCCTACACATCACAGACCGAGTGCTTTCAAAGTAATTTGAATTTATAGTGAAATAATTGTATTTTAACCTTATCCTACTATGTGTGTGTACTGATGCACTCTTATATAAATGTGGAAGAGCTCTGTGCAACCAATTTCAAGGTACTTTTCTGGAGGCTTTTGATAACGGTATCCTTACTATCAGGTAGTCTCTTTGTACTAGTTAGTCTATATTTGCTGTGTTAAACTTATAAATCATAGCTTCCTGATCACCGTGAAGTATGTGAAAAAAATTTTTGACGAGGGATTTGCAGTTCAATCACCTTAACTTGTATTTCGGTTTTGAGCACTAAGCAAAGTTTCATCGAGCTAACACGCTAGATCTTGTTCTGGTTTTTAACATTGTTATTTTCTATTCTGGTAATAATGAAGACTAATAATTTTGTGACTATTTAAAAGCTAATTGTTTTTAATAATTGAAATGATATTCTAGTTCTACCAAACAGTACATCTACAATTGCAATGTGTGTACCCATGACTTTTCTTTGGTATAAATCCTATCAAATCTCAGTCTTCTAAACTATGGGGAATAAAACTCGGCATTTCCCTCAATGTGTATACATCTATCCTCGTTGCTTTGTTTGTTACACCCTTCTTTATATTGTAGGATTTTACCAAACTAGTATTAACCGTGTTCCTGTTCAACCCTTAGACGTCAGTGTTTGTGTGCTCACAAATATGCGGATAGTTAAGTCGTTATCATGCTGAAATAATGGTAGGAATTACAGTCGTTCCGACCCAACTGTTGCTGAGGCAGTTTTCTCATTTTTATTGGTACTCATCAGGTAAAATAACTAGAAATAAATAAATACATAAATAAAGTATCTAAATAAAACCACAGGTGACTTTGAATGCAGTATCATAAATAAACACACATAGTAAATTAACCAATCCACTTTAAAATTGCTAATATAGTTACTATTTGGTCTACTAATTGAAATGCCTTAATATTAACTGTAAACTGGAGTAGTTTTACCACCAATAGAAAATTGCGAAGCCCGCCTCCTGTAACTTGTACTATTACAGCTCTGGTATTTCTTGATGGTTTTATGTTGTTTGATCCCATAACTTAATGAAATGTGGAGATATGGATTTCATTTCCGATCAGATGACTTTTATCACAAGAGCGCCTGATAGATAACTAGAGGAATTGGATATTTTGCAGGTAAGTTGCTATCTATATCCTACCTTTATATGTATAACTGTTGACTTACGTCTCGGCATTTATGAAAAGCTTTTCTTAAATGTCAGTGCAAATGTTGGGTTGCTTATATTTGCTCATGCCATTTGAGCTTAGTGGTAAATGATTAAAATCACGTTTAATATTATTTGACAGATTTGTTCACTTGCACGAAAATGTGACCGACCGACTATCATAAAGTTACTAACCCCGTTTCCTACTTACTGACCTATGAAGTCCAACTCTTACGCTGATCAAATTATTAACTGAATAGTGGTTTACATGTTAAAATACTCGGTTTCTAATAAGTAGATCTTAAATTCGGTCCCTACCTCACTTGTGATTAGGTACCCAGTTACTATTACTAGCTTTCATACTTAGAGTGTAGTTTGAGTGAATTACATGAACATGTACTTATTGTATGAGTTAAACTAGTATGCTTTATTCTAGTTTTGTGTCTAGTTGTTATGGAAATGGGAGATATGTAATCACTCATATATGTTCATAGTATTAAGTGACATAATCACTATATATTTAATTTTCTAACAAGTTCACTGGTTGGAGTGAAAAATGAATTTTTCCAACGTTCCGTTTAGTAAGTGATTGCTTAAAATTCATATTTCTTGTTGTATTGAAATGTTTTCGTAATAAATAAACAAACATCTATATCATTATTTCTTAGTACTCATAGTGTGGTACTTATTCATTTTTCCACTAACTTTTCATTTGTGATATGCTTTAAAACCAAACACACACTTATAAATCCTTTTGAGTATTAAAATGGTCACGATCGCTTGACACATTCAACATTTAAACTTTTTGATTAATTTCTTGAAATTATTTTTGATGCAGTTATCAGTGATTAGAGATAGTTGAGTTATTCCAAAGCATGAGCTAAATAAAATATCTTGTTTTGTGTGTATAATGTGTTTCCTTCTAAATAGGTGAAAATAAGAACGTCCGTCACTCGATAAATACAACTTGGCATAAATGTGTATTAGCTAAATTTGCCATGTAAGAACATCGTGGCTGGTGAAAATTAAAAAAGATACCAACCAAGGCAACGGAAACGATAGTAGTTTATGATCTTGAAAATGACTGTGTAGTGAATATAGTTTGAAACGAAGGACTGTATTCACGGAACAAAAAGCATAAAATAATATTCAAACTCGAAATCTAGTGGATTCCAAAGCTTGAATGCATTTGTGCCACCACGATCGATTTTGAGCTGTGTCAGTTATAGTCTTCTAATTTTGATCCGGATCACCGCATCCATCCAGACCAAGTAGCTTGCACTTTCCTAAAATATTGATCAACAATATATATATATATATATATATATATATATATATATATATATATATATAATGTGTTATTCACCATACATAACTAATTGTAGAATCAAAAGATTTGGGTAAGTACAATCACATGCCATTAGCGTAATTAAATGATTATAGAAATCAAATCACGATATGATTCAAAAACACCTAAATAACATGTATATTATGTGTGTGTACGCATACAGGTATTCGTTTATAGATAAATCTATGCACATTAAAATATGTAAATCTGCACTTTCGATGCTTCTAAGTATATATATATATATATATATGTTTTATGTGAGGTCATTTAAAAAAGCGCAAATTTCGACTGATCAGAGTGAGAGTGAAAAGAACTACTTATCGATAACAAGCATAGACTCGAATTTAATAAATTATTATATATAGTTCAAAGAAACTATGAACATAAAAAGGCAAAATTTGCCACGATACCTCATGATTATTCATAAACTATTACGCAGTAATGATAATTTATAAGATACCAAAAACCCACTAAAATGCAATCAATATTTGGAATATTTTACCTAGTTTTTGAAATAGACTGGATAATGAAATATATAAAACTACCACATTGTAATCACCTCACGTGGAATATTTATTTGGAAGAATTTACTTGACAGAAGTAATTATCGATAGACATACTAGATGTTATGTAAGCGAGTATGTTTATTTAATTACTGAAAATAATTTTATTGTAGGCTTATATACTCAGCTCTGAACCATTGTGAGGAAGAGGGCTGATAGTACTACTCAGCTGTTTAAACAAGTAGATGTTGCGGGGTTTAAACCTTTGACCTAATGACTAGAAGCTTGAATACTTAAACCGGTAAAATATATTTTAAGTGTGTAAAATATATATGCAAATATTTATATAGTTTATGTTGTCGGAAGAATATACAATTCATATACATTCCTTAGCTAATAAAGTGCAGTGAATCAAAAATAGTAGAGTAATGGTAGAAAAGATATCTAGCTCAGATGGATGTTTTTGTAACGTAAACCATGCCCACTTGATACTAATGGTAAAATCGACGTATTTGAAATTGAAGAATACCGGTTTT